GCCACCAGCCAGGAGCCTCCCCAGCATCGCCCCGACCAGCCTGGAGACGCGCAGCCACCCGAAGGGGCCAGCAGCAGCCTCAAAGGCTGCGGCCGGGGGCTACTGATGGAAAAGCAGCGCTTCCTGCGAGCGGGGAGCGTCACGTGTTTCCGCCGCCAGCGCTGAGCAGTTTCCCTGCGTCAGAGTGACTAACCAAGTTTATCGCCAGCTTTTGCCGAAGAGACACACCTTCCGAGTTACGTGGCCAGGGATTGCCCCGCTCCGGCGCCGCTCGCCTCCCCGAGCGGGGCAGCGCGGGCTCCGAGTCCCTGAGAGTCCCGTGGGATAGTAATAGGCATTTACATTCCCCCCCCCAACCCCTTACTCTTTCCTGTGTTAGGGCTAACGTAGGACAGCGTGCTATGTTTTCCCCAAAGACAGGCTTAGTAGCTGCTAATCGTCACAGCCGGCCAAGCTGTTGGAGCCCTTAATTGATTGCAGCTATAAAACAATCTTACAGGTCAATTGCGTTGAACAGACTTTTGAAGAGGAAAGGCTTCTCTGCTGTCTCAGGATAGGTTGGCAAAGGGGAGAAAGAAAAAAAAAAAATCAGTAATTCTGAACTAGAATAAAAATTGCTTTGCTCATTCATTTCTTCTCCAAGATCTTGTACGTGCAAAAACGGAGGAGTTGGGAATACCGAAAGAGGTGTGCCAGAAGTCAGGGAAGAGCAACGCAGCCGGGGGCTTCAGTCCTTCGGGTGCTTATCTCTGGAGTTATTTGCTTTGCGGCTTGTGGCCTAAGTCTCCGCCCTTCACAGATGCTTGGCTGAAACCATCACGTTTGCGAGCTTTCCAGGACCACTAAAGCCGATGTTTGTGACCGTAAACGCAGAGTGGAAGCTCGTCCTGTGATCCTGACGGTCCCATTTTCAGATAGCAAACTTCAAGAGCTGAAAAAATGTTTCAGATTAGCTTGGAATTGGTAAACTAAGAAAAACCACATAAAAACATCAGGTGACAGTTTTTGCCAGTGAGCAGATGTGGTCATTTAAACATAGCAGAGCATACAAAGCATTTGCCCTCCTTGAATTCAGCCTCCACAAGGTCTGAAGCATGCTGGATGTTGTCCATCACGTCAGCTGCGCTCAGCAGAGAACGACCCAGAGACAATGCCGTTTTATCAACTTGACGTTCCTCCTTCAGGATTTCCCGATGGGTCAGGAAATGAAAATGCAAAAACCACGTGTCTCGTTCGGAGCAGCGGAGTCCTTACTCTGCTCAGACACAGCAGGCTCTAAAGGTGATTTACATGCAGGAAGAACATTTCCATTCAAAAGAGAAGAAGCTGTTGCCAACAGGAAGACGTTACAAACTATTTAATAGTACCATCAAATGCAATACTGCGGATAATGAAAGCGTGCCCAAGTGCGAGGGGACGAAGTGCAAGGGAACATTGCTCATCACGTTTGCGCGGATGTTAAGGGCTCAGGCGATGAAAGACGTGAGAGAGATGCAGCTCTAGCTACCCAGCGCCTGGCCCCGAGGAAAAGCTCTGCTGTTTATAGAAATGTTTTATATTTTTCAGTACGTGAAGTTATTGATACTGAAGAAAGCAGAAACTTGCAGTAATGACAACTGTGGCTTTTTTGCTCTTTTCATGAGAGCTCCACAATGCATCCGGGCATAACACAAAGCGTTTAGCTTAATTTTCTTGTAATTCAGTGAGGCAAATTAGATCCATTTCCAGATTAGGAACCCATACAGAAAATAAATGGCAGTATGAGCATCCAGCTGCAAACTTTGCCACAAACAAGTAGAAATCAGTGGAGCCGATTATGCTGAAAGAAGCAGAGCAGAAACCTGGTAAAGTCACTGAGGATGTTCATGTCCTGCTCACGATTTCACTGCAGGGAGATGCCCCGTGCAGAAGGCGAATGGCACATTCACAGGGCTCAGTGCCCCCCGAGAGCACAGCGGAGCTGGCCAAGGCCACGTTCGGAAAAGCTCCCAAACATCAAGGATACCCTGGCTGACTCGCTGCCAAGATTGTTTACTGGCATCAAGGTCACCCCACTCTGATGTCTTCCAGACACTTAAAAAAAAAATTAGTGGCCCACCTCAACAAATAGCTACTTTAATTTGGGCTTTGAAACCATTTTTGCTGTAAAAGGTATCCTCTGAAACACTTACAGCAAAAGTCAATGTTTTTACCTCATGTCCAAGTCTGGATTTAAAGAGAAGGAATTACCGTTTTTATTGCATCTCCTCACTTCTCAGAGTAGAGAAAATAGTTGGGTTTTCAGGCCTCTGGTGCTTATCCACCCTGGGGTTGTCAATTGTTTCCTCTAAAAGAGGCACTAGGTAACAGCTATATTAATCACGTCTGCTGCGAGTGAGAAAGTGCTCCAGGATTTATTATGCCAGCATTTAGGAAGCGCAAAGAGACAGACAAGTCCCCATGAAACCACAAAGGCAGTTATTTGTCCCCAAATTTTACTGGCATTGCTTGCCCTGGGGACACTCAGCGTGCTCAGGCGAGTTTGACTGCAGCGTAAGAAAGTGAATAAAAAGCTGTACATGCCACTGCGCCGGACCAGGCGCCAGTATTCCCAATACCCTGCATTTTATCTGCTTGCTGTGCCAATCCCCTTAAATCCCAGGGGCGAGCAAGCACTGATTTGGCTTCAGCTAGTGCCTATCTACTCCCTGCGGAGTCTCCTTTGCAGCAATGCACATCTGGGGTCATGTCCTGCAGGGAGACCGTGGCCCAGGTGCTAGATGGCTCCGTGCCTGGGAAGGGAAAAAAAGAAAACCCCAAACCAAGGAAACAACCAAAAAACCTCCCTGCACCCCCAAGTCACTCTCTCTGCACACCCTGATACTCTTGGGGACATGCTGTGATGCTTCCCTCCCTCAGTCCCATTGACCTCAGCACCTCTCCTCCGCGGCGAGTTCGCCCAGTGAAGGGCCCAAGAAATCCTGCAGAAATTGGTCCTTCCCTGTGACAGGGCCCAAAACATAGCCCAGATACCCACTAAACCAAGCACATTTGCAACATCTGTGACTGCCTCACTACAAGCAGCTGTGCCCCTTTTTTGACGATTTGCTTATATACACATATATATAAAAATATATATTTAGAGACATATATACTTATATCTGATGCTTTTCAAATTTTGAGGGCAAGCTGCATCCCTTCAGTTCAGCACAGGAGCATGAAAGTCCACTGGAGGAAAAACAAAACAAAACAAGAAAATCCACGTCTCCCTGAAATAACTTGCAAAACACAGTCGTCTGCAAACATCATTGCTTTCACTGGAATTTTATTAAGGAGAAGAGTGTGACTTCTTCACAAATAGCTTAATTTAATCTATCAAGCTGAGCCTGCGATGGACTGGCAGCTGATTTACCCCTTCTCCCTTTACGAAGCAAGAAGGGACAGCAGCAGAGGGACAGCACCCACTTTAGGCCAGCACAGTGGCCAGCTTTGCTGGTCTCCTCCCCTCCTTCACTATACCCAAAACACCTTCGTGGACCTGGCTCTGCAGGGCTGCAGTATAAAAATCCATTGCACTTTGATTTCTGATGGATTTTATGCTGTCTTTCTGAGCACCTGAATCCTGGTTCCTGCCGGTCTCTTGCAGCAATGGGTAAATGACTCAGATTCTCCTCATCTGTTCTTCTTTTTCTGCTTCCAACAATTGCAGGAAGAGACACTTTGGAAGAGTATATTTTTTCCCCCTAAAAGTCCAGATGAGACCATCTGTGCTCCTCTTTGCATCTCCTGGTTGGTTTTTGTAAGGTTATGCAGCAATCTTTAAGTCATATACACAAAAGGAGGCATAGGAATATTTAACTGAAGAGTAACTGCTTATAAAGCTGTTCTTATGTGCAGTGTCGTCAAAATCAGATAGCTTTATATCAGGCTTTGTTTCACATCACATGAAAAGTTTTTAAATACTAGAGTTGTGACAAGCAGTAGAAGATAAGATTACCTTAAAATTCTCTGCTTTCCTCCAATCTAATTAAATGTGCAGCAGAGCTCGGCCTCAGTTCCCAGCTGAGATAAATAAGCAATCCTGGACGGGCTCGCGGCTCATGAAATTCTAAGTGAGTCAGGAAATATTTCACCTCACAACCGCATATTCTCTGGCAGCACAATTTAACGCAGCGAGAGCCATGAATTGCTTTGAAACATCTCACTTACCTGCAGACTCTCAGCCTGAACACCCTTCCCACCGTCTCCAGGCCCCCAGGGCACAACGCTCCATGCACTTGGATTTTCTCTGGGTCCTCCTGCGATTAGGAAGCAATCTACCCTGAGGAGCCTCTAATGTAAATCGACAGAGATTAAGAGCTCTCAAACTATGTCTCACCCCAGCCAAGT